ATTTTCATCAAACAAATGCAATATATATTTTTGGAAAATGTTTGATAGTGTTAGTGTTGATTCAAATTTTTTCAAGGCATTTTATCTGTTCACCACCCCTGGATTACAAAGTTATTGTAAATTTTCACAAAAATAATATTTTCTCTTTAATTTATAATCCTTTTATCTTGCAAATCTTTTTCACATAACAACAAGACAATTATTTTCACATAATGACAAAAAGAATTTGCACAACAAAAAGCTTTCAACAGTAAAATTTACATAAGAAATGATTTAAGTTGTTGCTAAAAGTTTTCAGACATTTGATTAATAAAAGTCAGATGTTGTGCAGTTGGCAATTTTATTATAAGTCATAAAATATGAATAGTTTGCATTTGCTACATTCATGCTAATCAACTTCGAGAAAATGCCAGACTCTTAATTGACTTTAGACCACACTTTGAGGATATAAAGAAGTGGGAAAAAAAATTTTTATTGAATTTCTGCAAATAGAAAAATTTGTGAAAATGAATAAAAACAGGGAAAAAGGAGTCGTAAAGATTGACTATGAGTCAACTTAATCAGAGAAAATTAGATTACGTATTGTAAACTTTACAGTTATTGCATTCATTTTGCTCTTTTTGCTTTTAAGTGAATTTTTAATTGGAGTTGGGTTAGTTGAAGAGCATTTTGTCTTCACAATCTAACTGTTGTCATCATACAACTAGAAAACAGTCGTCAAGGCGCTGTCAGAGCAAATGTTGACGATTCTTTATTATCAAGATGAGGGAGCGGTGCTCTGCTGTGAGGGTCTTAAAGGCTACGGTTAACTCTTAATCTACAAACTCTACAATTTACACTCTTCTAATGCTTAAGAACCAAAAAAACATCACATAAAGCTACGTGGAACGAAAAGTGCGCCATTTAACCTCACATCCTCAAAAGTCATCCCACCTAAATCATCCTCCCTCGTATTCCAATCAATCCAATGGATAAAATCGTTAATTTTTATGATATTTCTCCGATATTCAATCAACGTTAATGGAATGCGACTAAACAGAGTGACTGAATGTTGTAAAAAAATTATTTATATAGGAAGAGGAAGAAAGCACCGTACAGCTAAAGCATAGAGCGAGTGTATTAAATAAAGTCACAAAATCAACGACATTGCTCTCACCCTTAATGAAGATGATGTGGAGCCAGATGTATAGAGGATAGGAGGAAGCATAAAATAGAACCAAATACATGGAATACATAAAAAAAGTGAAAGATAAATCAATTTAATGTCTAATGTGTGGCTTCGTAAACATTAAATAAAATATGCCCCCATTTTCTTCTTTACAGCTCCATTATGGCATAAAGCCTCGACAAAAAACCCAAGGAAAAGACTTTTTCTTCTTTTCCACATCCATTTACAGAATCATTCTTTTGATGATGAGAAAAAAATTCTTATAGCGATTGAAGAATTTTTTTATTTAAAGAAAGAATTGGAATCATAGACTGTTGCTGTTGATATTTTTTTATGATCTATACTCGTAAAACAAAGTTAAGAAGAAGGATCATCATCTGATTTATCGTTCAATGTATTGAGTACTGAGGAAGACGTTAAAAGGAAGGAAGTGAAGATTGAATTGATTGGGAAGTTAGGTTAACGCAGTTTTTATGTTAAGAAATGTTGCTGAGTAATTGGAAACTGTTGCGTGTGATTTAAAGAAGCTTGGTTGTGGTTTGGTTAAGTACTTCGGTTCTTAATTATTACAATAAATCAGTTGCAGCTCTATAATTGCACTATCCCCAATAGCACAAGTCGGTTAATCGAATTCGGCTTCGATTTAAATCCAGCACCATGCCAGAATCACACAGGCTTGATGCCGAATTTCTGATCGATTAACCGGCTTGTGTCATTCGAGTATTACTTAAAGCTCACTTAAGTTAAAGTTCTATTAAATTAATCTAATAGCTTTTGTATAAAACTCCATTCAAAATATTTCCTATTCAATCGACAAAACAAATTTTCCACTTCTTTATCATTTGTCTCGTTTTTCTCCTTCACATTCTTTTGTTGACTGACTTTCAATTCTTTATTTCTCTCTACTACAACTTCAGCAATACGCTTATCTCCGGTGTGATGTTAATAATAAATATCATCTACATGATTCCTTTTTTTTTCTCCTTTTGAATTGAATTTACGATGACATACGTTGTAGTATGTACGTAGGTAGCAGTCAACAGATAGATTCAGATTTATCTCAGTAAGGAGTCATCCAGTGAACTCTTTATGTTGAAAATTCAACATGTCGTGCTGTAAGTAGTTTACTTTAAGAATTTACATGGAAAAAGAGTAAGCTTTAAATGGAAATGAGATTGATGAATGTTGTAACTCGTTGGTTCGTCTAAAGAGATTTTGAGGTTGAACATTTTGTAGCGAAATGAGTTAATAAGTCAGTTGCTTGTGAATTTAGAGTCAAACGTGAAGAATTGCATGCTTTTTGAAGAGTTAAACATGACTTTTGTATTAACAAAAATAATATTAAAGTTTACAGAAGAATAAATTGTAAAATTTTATGAATCTAAAAAATTCATTTAAAAAATGCGCTCAGATCACAATCCCAAGAGGATGTGAAACCACAATCACCAACAATCATCTCTAAATGTAAATCTATATCGTCGCCTAAAGCATTTTTCTTGTATTGTGTTGATAAATTTTTTTATTCATTTTTATTATAGATACATGTATCATCACAACTCAGTTCATTGCCTCACATTCGATTCATACCGCATATGCATGTATGTTTGTTAACTTCCTATGCAAATGTCGAATGTCAAATGTCTCGTTATTTGCACAAAAAAAAAATTTATTTTCATTGCTGTGAGACACAGAGTTATTTTTTCTCTCATGCTCTGTGTGTTGATATTTTTTTAGTCATCAGAAAAAAAAATTTTTTTGTGCTACTCTTGACTCAAATTTAATTTCTTTAATGTGTATATTTCACGAATTCAGCTGTTTGAATATGTGAAACAATTATGAGTTGTGCTTGCACTCATTATTTAAACTACTCTCGGTGGTATCATCAGAGTTATCATTCTGAATATATATATAGAGAGACATACTTGGAATGGAGTCTGACGAGTGGATGCAAATAAATATCAAAATCGTTTCATATTCACACTGAATTTCCATATGAATCGTATTGTTTTTTGGAGTCATGAAATGCTTCCAGTGAGGCATAAGATCCATACAAAAGGAAATTTTTGTTGGTACGAGTTTGATATTGAGAAAATGTAGAAATATATAAGGATAAATCAAAAATATCTGAGGCTTACTAGTTCCTTCGCAAGTTTTAGTTCAGGGGCGTAGCCAGGGGGGGGCCATAGGGGGCCCGGGCCCCCCCTACGAAAATCTGATAATTGTTTTATTAAGTATTTATAGAGAAGAACCAGTTAATGTAGAGAAAGTGATGAAAGAAATGTCAAAATCAGCACGAAAAATTAAATTTAATGTATGAATAATGAATTAAATACTTAAACTTATGAACAATGAATATAGATTTAAGGATACAAAATAACGGGTTTTTTAATTTTCGCAAATGGGCCCCCCCCTTAAAAATTTTCTGGCTACGCCCCTGTTTTAGTTTGCTGGATCTTTATTTTGTGTTTTGAGTAAGGCTAATAATAATAATAATAATAATAATAATGTGTGAAGGGCCAAGCCTTTCAGCTGGAGGCACTGAGATTCCATTTGTAAAGAACCTATTGTACCATACCCTTTAGACCTACAGTTTATAGTGAGATCCGAACCACTTGCAAGCTCTGCACATTGCAAAGACACAAGTAAGGAAGTCATCCAGATGCTAGTTTATCCTTGTATACTTAGCAAAGGAGGCATATTCTATGCCAAAGACCTCAAAACTACACCCAACACACGAACCTAGCTTCGTAACTAGAACAGTGAAATGGAAAAAGAGCTTCAAAAATTAGACATGGCCTGGGATTGAACCCAAACCTTTGGCACAGAAGGCCAACGCTCTACCATTTAGGCCACTGATGCCATTTCACCGCTTTGAGTAAGGCTTGCATGATATGTTTTTGGTTCTATATACGACTTTTACACTACTGGATCTACAATTATGGTTCCAGACATGATTTATACGGACCCAAGTTATAATACCGAAACGGAATAACTGCACAACGTAGAACCGGATTAATAAAGAATTTTTTTTAAAGCTATTTATCGGGAAAATAACTTTAATAATTAATATCGAGGTTCGATTAAAACTTTATTGGATCTTGGTTTCCAGTTCTAGTTATGTATAATCCTTTACTAATTTTGGATTCAACCTTGATTTATTTCTCACTAGATCAATGATTTTGGTTCAAATTTTTTTTGATCTCAGCTATAAAAGAGGCACAGATCCTGCATTCTTTCAAAGAGAAAAAGTAGAAGTTCGTTTATTTATAAGTGAATATCGGCAAAAAAAATATGTTATCATTATTCAAACACAAAAACACATATTTGATTTCTTATTTCACCAGTTTAAAGTCTAATAATGAGTAATGAATAGAAATATGTGTGCACTTGACTTGAGATTAACGTAACCAGAGTTGCGAAACAGGTCACCTGTGACAGGTGAGAACCTTTCAATTCCTTGATAATTTGTATGGTTTTGTTAGAAAAACCTTATAAATTATCAAGGAATTGTAGGGTTCTCACCTGTCACAGGTGCCTGTTTCGCAGCTCTGAACGTAACCGATAGGAGCTTAGTGTCCCTAAACTTATCAATAAGATTTCTATTGAACAAATATTTGCCCGAGCTACCTATTAACACAAAGAAGAATTTTTTGGTCTTTCAGTAAGTTTAAAATTGCAGAGTGTCAAATTTATGACGAATGAGTGTGACGTCTTGATCGGGCTAATCAACAAATTGATAGCCTATCAAAAAAATATTATATTGGAACTTACTGATACCAATATTTTATAAACCAGCAGTTAATCATTGTAAATTAAAGAAGCAATATCAAAAATGAAGTCGAGTCGAATAATTTTGGAATTTTTATTAATTTTCATGTCCTTTAATTTGATTAATGGACAGGATATTCAATGGGGCATCATCAACACCGATTCAATAAGAATTGATCTGTATATTTTAAAATAACTTAATTAAAAACTTCCAGATTATTGAAATTAATTTTTTTAAACAGCCCAGCACACTTCACATTAAATCTTACAGCAGGAACTAATGCAAGTTTGAATGCAACTATGAGAGTATCAAGAACGATTCATGGATTAAAACTTCAAACCATAAACAGTCCAGGTGCAAACGGTGAAATAATCAACGGAGGAATTGGCTTTAATTTCGTTACATTTATGCTGCAAGGAAACTCAAGTTACTTTTATTTTATTGCTGAAGCATTTGAAAACAATACATTAGGTGTTGAGACAACAACTGTCCTTCCAACAACGCCAAAGCCTGAAGAAACTTTTGAAGAATGGGGAGTGATCAATACTGCATCATTGGCATTAAAGTATGAGTTTTTGGTTCGATATTTTGTTGCAATTTTACTGAATTGCTTTTAATATTTTTACAGTCCAAAAACCTACTATTCAGCATCATCTAATCCTGGACAGATTACACAACGTGATGTGTCAATTAATGCCCCTAAAATAATTCATGGTATACGAGTAACAAGTTATAATAATACGGTAGCAAATGCAAATATCACTGACGGAGGAATTGGTTCCAATTTTACGACAATTAGAGTTCTTGGACGTGCTAACTTTCTCAGTTTTTCTATAGAATTATTTGAAAATGGAATTTCAACTCCTGCACCAACAACAACAGTCGGGAGTACAACAGTTCCAACAACAATCCAAACCACTCCAATCCCTGAGAAAAGAATTGAAGAATGGGGAAGATTTGATGACATTGCACTTCTTGATGAGTAAGTTACTAATGATGTCATTCAATATAACATTATTCTCATATCAATCATGTCATTTATGCGATTTTTAGGATAGCATTCCAAAATTATCCACCAATATGGTCAACAGCAAACGAAAACGCTACAATCACAGTGAATGGAGTCATTCTAGGAATAAGATTGACTAGCTTGAACTACACAACTGGTCTTTATGAGCTTATTGGAGGAGGATTAGAGCAAAATTTTGTGACTTTTAACTTTAGAGGATCTCGAGCTGGAGGACCATATGATTTTAACATCGAAATCTTTGGAAATAGTTCCGTCAGTGTGAAATTGTCAATGGCTTTAGTAGCTGTTTTGAGTTTATTATTTAGTTTCTTAAGATAAATTGATAAATATTAAAAAATCTGAATAAAGATTTAAAAGAATTTACTTTGAAATTTTTCATAGAATTCATTTAAGTTGAAATAGTTGATTCACAAAAGTTAAAAAGACGATTCTCAAAACATTTCATAAGAATGAGTAATCAGTCAAAATAATTCACGCAATTGCCTCAAGATAAGCCTAATCATTATTTGCTTTGTAATTTTTGACGTTTATCAAGCAAACGTCAATTGTAAACTTACTGTTATATAGAAACAAATAAGTTAAAACTCAAGTCTTTTTTGAAGTGTAGTATAATCTAGTCAAATTGCAATAAAGTGCAAAGTGAGTGCAGAGAAGCCCTCGTCGTTTGATTTTGATGATTCACCAAGATTTCCTTATCCATAACTAAACAATAGATACGTTATCATGATGAGGCTATTGCAAATATATAATAAAAAGCTTTAAATTGTTTGTGCATGTTATCATTTAACTATTACACGTTGATAAATTAAGTCCGAAAAATGAAGTTCTGTCGAGTATTTACTGGATTCTTAATATATTTTTTGTCATTCAACATAGTTTGTGGCAATGATTTTAGTAGTGGTGAATTCAAAATTTTCCAGAATGTTAAAGATGAACATATTCTTGAAGATTTTGTAGCTGACGGTGTTATTGATAAAATATGGGGAGTAATTAATTCTGATTCTGTCAGGGTAAGCGGGTGAGTAACACTTTGTATAGTAACATAGCTATTTTAAAGGTATTTAAACTGAACTATTTAATTTTTGTAGGCCGATAACTTTTATAAAAAATTCATCCTCAGAAGCTACAGCTTGGAACGTAACAATTACGTCGAGAATAATGGATGGAATAAGACTTCGGAGTCTAAATAATACAGGAGCAAATGGTGATATTATTAAAGGAGGAATCGGATATGATTTTGTTACTTTAATGCTTGTTGGACTTACAAATGAATTTTATTTTTTGTTTGATGCTTATGAAAATTATGCATCAAGTTTGATTCCGAATCCTCCTCCAGTTATTCCAGATATAGTCTTTCAAGAATGGGGAGTTATAAACTATGCATCAAAAAAATCTGGTTATGTATTTAGATCTGATTTCAATACATCTGAAGTAACAGGAAGTATTGAAGCGTCAAAACCTTTTGATGGAATCAGATTGACAAGTCACGACAGATCAGTTGCAAGTGCTGAAATTATAAAAGGAGGAATTGGATATAACTATTTTACATACAAAATCGTTGGAATTAAAGATTTTGTTGATTTCTCATTTAACACTTTTGAAAATGGAACTTATCTTGAGACAAGAGAAAGAGTTTATGGAAATATTGACAAGGAAGTCAAACTTCTTGACGAGTAAGTTAATAAATTGTTATCAAAACCTCTAATATAATCTCAAAATTTTTACAGACAACGTTTTCAAAATTATCCACAAATAGGAGCCAATGCATCTGGAAATGCTTCATTTTCCACATCTGGAACTATTTTAGGAATTAAATTAACTTTTTTAAATTATACAGATGGACTATATGAAATCATTAAAGGTGGATTAAATGAGAGTTTTGTGACATATGAATTCAATGGACCATATCAAGGAGAACCTTACGACTTTAAAATTGAAATCTTTGGAAATAATGCAGCAACAGTTAAATTTTCAATAATTTTAATGATAATTTTAAACATTTTAATTGCTGTGAATTTAAATGAATAAAAAAATGAATTAATCTAGAGGTGAAACAGTTTTTATTTTATTATGAAGACCATAACCAGCCCTCATAAACTCAAACTCAAAGACTATATAACAAAACACATATATAAATGCACATGCTCAGATAAGAGTTGTTGATAACCGCTGATAGTGTGCAGATTAGATTTCACGTGTTATTCCTTGATAATAATTTCGTGACAGCCAAAAATATTTTTTCACATATAATTGTTAGTTTTTTGGCTATGATTGAAGAATTAAGTGTCAAAATGAAATCTGTTCGATTATTTTTTGGATTTTACTTTATATTTATGACTTTTAACCTTATTCTTTGCAATGAAAGTGACATTGATAGGACATGGGGATCAGTTAACGATAATTCAATTAGAATTAACAGGTAAACACATTAATTCATTATTAAAAATCCAAAGTTTAAATTAAATCTTCAGTCCAAATGCTTTCACGAAAAATACAGCTGAAGGAACTATTGCAGCATTCAATTATACATATATAGTACCAAAAATAATTCATGGAATAAGACTAAGAAGTTTTAATAACTCGGGAGCAGTTGGTGATATTATTGAAGGAGGAATCGGATACAATTTTACAATTTTCAAACTTGTTGGGCATTCAAACTATATGTCGTTTGTAATGGAAGGGTTTGAAAATAATACAAATCCCACCACAACACCAGCATCATCTACATTGGAACCAGACAGAGTTGTATTGGAAAAAGGCAACACTGATGAAGAGACTAAATTAATTGAGTATGATTGCATCAATAAATTCTTAACTTAATCATTAAAACATTTAATTTTGCTCACAGAAAACGATTTCAAAATTATCCATTGCCAGGAGAAACTGCAGAAGTAAACACAACTTTACAAGTTCCTGGAAATATTCTTGGATTAAGATTGACAAGTTTAAACAACACCAATGGATTGTGGGAAGAACTTGGAGGAGGTATTAATAATGATTACGTAACATTCATTTTTAAAGGTTCAGATGTTGGAGAACCTTATGACTTTAACCTACAAATTTTTGGAAATAGTTCAGTGACACTGAAAATTTCTGTATTTATAGTCATCCTGTCGAGTGTTTTTATGTATTTTATTTAAATAAATTCTAGTGTTTTTGAAATAAATATTACTACGCGAGATGTACACACTGAGGAAACTTCCTTTTGAAGAAAGCTTCGGAAGTTTCCCAAGACATGTATCATGTAGTTAATTATAAAATAAAGCAATAAATCAAATTTTTGGCAATAATCGAAAGTGAGTAATCTATTGGTTTATTTACGCAAGTGATGCATGATAACAATAATCTCATATCGTATTTTTTTATTGTTATCAATTGCTTAGATTCAGTATAAACTCTGTATAATTGTTAATAATTTTCAGTTTATTTTGTATTGCTGAAAACAAAGGAGCAAAAATGAGAACATTTAAAGTTTTTATTAATCTGCTAATACTTAGCTTGTCGTTAAGTTCCATCCTTTGTGAGGAATCAAAACCTTTTCAGGCAAATGCATTTGAAAATGAAGGAGAAGAGGTAATTGGTGAAAACTTTGAAACCCTAGATGGAGATATTGACAAAATTTGGGGTTCTATAAACGACGATTCTGTTAGAATTGGCAGGTAAGATATTATTATCACCAACAAAAAACCAAAAAATTATTATTATTATTTTATGAATTCATAGTTCAATTAGCTTTCGGAGAAACGATAGCATAGGAACAGTAGCTTCATGGAATGTGACTGTAAGCTATTCAAGAATAATAGATGGATTAAGATTGAGAAGTGTGAATAATTCGGGTACAGTTGGAGATATTGTTGATGGAGGAATTGGATATAATTTTGCAAGTTTCGTTCTTCTTGGAAATGAAAATTATTTGCACTTCATTATTGATGCATTTGAAAATTACACATCTAGTTTGTTAACTACTTCTACTACCACACCGATTCCAGACAGGATCATAGAGGAATGGGGAACTATTAATTATGCATCAAGAATAATATAGTAAGCTTTTAAATTCAATCTTTGGGAGTTCCAAAGCTCTAATTATTTATTTATTTTTTTGCATAGCCCACGAGAATCCCATCATGTTGTATCCTCACCCGGACAAGTATTAGAATGGGTTATTAAAATAAATTCAACAAGTCCAATGGATGGAATAAGATTAACAAGTTTTGAAGATTCAGTTGCTAGTGGAGAAATAACTGAGGGAGGAATAGGATATAATTTTGCGACGGTTAAAATAATTGCAAAAGCAGAAAATATCAGCTGTTTATTTGAAAAGTTTGAGAATGGTACTTATACAACACTTTTGCCCACAACAACGTCATTGCTTACAACAACTTCATTACCCACAACAACAACGACCCTAAAACCAGAAGAAGGGGAAATCAAAGATTGGGGCAAAATTAGCGACGAAACAAAACTTTCTGAGTATGATTAATTAATTTTTTCAAAAATAAATTGTGATTTTTATCGTAATTTTCTTCACAGAAAACACTTCCAAAACTATCCACAACCTGGAGTCATGGCAAACAACAATGAAACCGTAGAAATAATAGGAACTATTCTTGGAATGAGATTGCAAAGTTTAAACAACACAAATGGACTGTGGGAACTCATTGGAGGTGGATTAAATGAAAGTTTTGTGATTTTCAACTTCAAAGGAACTGACGCTGGAAGACCTTATGATTTTAATATTGAACTTTTTGGAAACAGTGCATCTGCTGTAAAAATATCAGTTTTTGTCATGATTGTTTCAAGCATTTTGTTTATCTTAGTTAAATAAATATTATTAATTTTTAAAATGAAAGTTTTAAATGACTTTTAAATAAAAATGTCTCTTAATCACTAGATCAATTTTTAAATCATGCCACAATTAATCCAGGAAACGATTTCTGTAATTTTATGATTTTTGGCACTCTTAATTAAATCATCATATAAACTTTGTCAGAAGTAATATCAGACTTTGTGTGCATAAACATGAAAACAATGTGAGCTATCAATCAATTTAATGATTAATGATTTGAACTTAACTGCGCTTATATGATAATGTCTAAATATTCGCGGTCATGATGACAATTTCAATTTTATAACATGAGTAATCAAGAATAATCAATTGGCATATTTACGCAAGTGATATGAGGTATCAATAATCTCGTGTAGTATTTCTTAATGTTATCAAACGTTAAAAATTAGTATAAACTCGTTTCTTTTTTGATTATTTTCATTATGTTAAGAGTAAGTGAGCGAATTTGAAGTTAACAAAAGCATTTGTTGGACTTTTCACACTTAGCTTTTTACTAAGTATCATTCATTGTGATGAACTGAAATCTCAGAATGGATTTGAAAATAAAGGAGAGGAAATAATCGGTGAAAACTTCGAAACTTTAGATGGAGACATTGACAAAAAATTTGAAAATTTGAAAAACTTACTGAGTATGATCTTCAATCTATAAGCTAAAGATAAATTTGTATTAATTACTTTTTTTACAGAAAGAGTTTTCAAAATTATCCCCAATCTGGTGTCATGGCAATCAGAAATGAAACCGTAAAAATAACAGGAACAATTCTTGGAATGAAATTGAAAAGTTTAAACAATACAAACGGACTTTGGGAACTCATTGGAGGAGGATTAAATGAAAGTTTTGTGACTTTTAACTTTAAAGGAACTGAAGCTGGAAGACCTTATGATTTCGATCTTGCAATCTTTGGAAATAGTGCAGCTACACTGAAATTGTCATTATTTTTAATTATCCTGTCAAGCATTTTATTCACATTATTTAAATAAATTCGATCATTTAAAGAAAAATATTTCAATTTTTTTAACATTAGCAATAAGTTTCATACAAAATCACTCTGTTGTTATGTTTGGAATACAATAGAATTTTATCAATGAAAACGTCAATTCTTATCATTATGATTCACTGAAGTTTTTAACGGTCAAGTGTATTACGCAAAAGCATTTGACGTCAAAAACGCGAGTTTAACTTTCTCGGAAGTTTGTATTAAGTTGATGAACAATCAAAAAATATAAACTTGCCTGCTTAACATAAGACTTAATAGCATTCAAATGTACCTATTGTATCTTTTACAAAACATTCCGACAGAGTTCGTCATTCGATAAAGCTCAATGGCTTTTGTAATAAAATTATAATAAAAAATGTAAATATTACATTCTATGCAGGCACTACAATCAAGTATTTATGTTAAATCTTAAATTTTACTGAAAGAAGATCCTTTAATCTTAACAGAACAATACATAAAGTTCTATAGGATGGTGTGAATATTCCCCAGAAGCGTGATAGGCTTCATTACTGGTTTTTAGCCTGATTTTCGAATGCTTAGTGTCTTTAATGCGCGACGAAAGTCAACAGTTTGATCATTTGATTGTTACTTAAACAATTAAATTAATTTTATGAAAACAAATTATTTTTTGGAGTAACGTCTCCAAAATTTCACCAAAGTAAGGTCGCAATGTGATATTTTGTAAACTTTCGAATTACAATTGTTAAAAAATCAAATCAATTTCAGTTTTAAACTCGAAGTTCAAATTTATCATATTAAACAACCTCGACACTCCACCAACATCACAGAATATTGCGCTATCAAATAACACAAACCAAATCATCGCATACTAGTTGCTTCGCTCATATCTAGCAACTATAACTGTATTCATTAAAATTGAAATTATGTCATGAGTTACTCTCGAAAGCTCAAAGCTATATATTTTAAACGCAAAGAGGATTTTCCTACAAAATGAAAATAATCTCTTCTTTTTTTTTTGCTTCTTTGGGAATGCTTATGCATATAATGAAATGTGTAGCTGAATGAAGCATATGAAATTCTCATAATCCTATTCTTTACAAATTTAAATTGTTTTTCTTTATTCTTCTGTTTCATTCACAGTGACGACAAAAATGCTTTTATCTGCTGTGTCGATGACAATATTTAAAATAAAAGAGATGAAAGGGATTGTTTAAGAGAATCTGATGTAGAAACGCGAATGCATCAGCAGTGATTTAGAATTATGCAAAAAAATGAAAACTTAGTTTTAATTGGAAACAAAATTTTATTTCTATAATTTTTTTAATAAAATCTAAAAGCATTGTTGCAGCTGTGTTAGCGAAAATCATTATTTTTTCAAGTTCCATCGTCAAAAACCAAGAAATCGAATACAATCTAAGAATTTCGAATTGTTTAAATAATTTTTTTTTGAATTGTAAAGCAGATTTTGAAAATGTCTCAAGTTCTCATTTTACTCAAAGCTGAATTTTTCGTCTTCACAGTTTGTACAATAAGAAAGCAAAGAATGAGATTTACATCCTTAATATCAAATAAGGAGCTCATTTCTTATAAATTTGTAAACATTGCCTGAGGTTAATTTTTTGTCGTACTTATTATTTCATTTTTACATATTTCCTTGCTCTGCTGAGAGTACATGCTGATATTTCTTTCGTGGCTTTTTCTTGTCAAAGGAATAATTTTACTGTTGCAAGGAGATGCTGGTTAGGTGGAAAAGGGTTGGGAACTTTATTTGAATTTGTTGAAATTTTAATTTTTTTAAGATTAGTTTCTTAAAAAAAAACAAAAATTTCGAATTTAAATCTTTCAATATTTTAATAAAATCCTTTTTCAAATATCAGGACCCAAAGATACATAAAGATTAAATTCAAATAATAAATTCCCGAAAATGTCCATCCATCCATAAACAAAACACATCGTTTATTTAACATTATTTCCCCTAGAGTTTCCAATTCAATTCCATTTTATCATATTTCCTTCGATGTTGTTATTTTTGAAAGGAATGGAATCGATAACGAGTCACATCAATCTACTGATCTGTAATTCATGTGATTTACAAATGTGTCTATACATATTTTTGACGAACTTTATGAAGCGGAAGGAATCAAAAAGCAACAATATTTCTCGTTTATTTTCGAAAGCTTCCGTATCGATTGTGCATAATTAGATTCTAATAGGATTATGTCTCAATCTACTTACAGTATTATTCATTGACAAAAGGAATTTATTCTTTTGTTCATGTTATAGGAAATAAAAAAATAAACTTTCATTGAAATAATAAAAAAAAAAAGTGGAGAACTTTTGAAGTTGAGAACAAAATAGGGAAATTTAATAGCTTTTTCAAGGAAAATAGAATGAAAAGATTGAGGCAATAAAAAGTTTTCTCTATTCAGATTTATTTTTGATAGTGATTTAAGTAAAATAAGGTGAACTAAAGACTAAAGTATTAACAAAATTAAATCAAAGATTTTTCTTTTCAAGAATTTTACTTTGAAAGAATTAACTCAAATTTCAATTATTTTTATGTTGTGCTTCAAAATAAAGACTTTACGGACTTTACTGTGATGTTGAAACTAAATTTTGAGATTTCAAGTTGAGTTTTGTAATTTTATAGTTTGACAGATCTGTTTTCAGTGTGATCAAAGCGAGTTTTTGGTTAATATAAATGGAAATTGATAGTTTCTGCTTTTGATATAAGCCTAAAGCTAAATTATCAATAAAACTTTGTTAATTAACTGAATAAAATAAAGATAATTATATTTTTTAAACAAAGAAAGTTAACATGCAATGTAGCAAATTACAAAAATTCAAAATAGTAAAATTTTAAAATCAAAATCTCAAATTAAAAGCTGAATTCCCTGAAAAGTTAACCTGTTTTAAAATAATTATCCAAATAAATAAAGTTAAATAAAGCAAAATTGCAAACAAAAGAGAATAATTAAGTAATTTTGATCCTCAATTATAAAAAAAAACTATTTCAATTCAGAGTGGAAAAGCTCAAATTATTTCAATTATGTGCAAATGTTTCATCCAACAAAAAATAATTAATTCACATGGTAAAAATAATTATACATCCCATTATACAAAATAAATCCTGTTCATTCATTTTACATGAAAGCAATTTATCAAAATTTCTGTAAATTATTTATATTTCTTTACATCCTACTCCTCCTCCCTGAGCCCATTCAGCACAAAAGAGTCTGAAATTGTTGATGAGAAAAATGCACTAAACAAACACACATCATCAGCACAACGGGATACATGAAACTCATTGTGAAATGCAATAACGCAAAAAAAATATCATAAAGTTTTTTTTTATTGTTATGAGACGTAGTGAGAGAAGAAGGAATGAATGAGAGTGAAAAAAAGCTTCATATTGTAACGGCAAACGTAAAGTGCACATTAAAAAACTTTTCATTGAGTGAAAATATGCTTTTTCATTCTCAACATTTTACTGTATAGTGTAGCTTTGTTCATATATATTTTTTTTTGTATATGCTTTTTATTATTTCAGACGAATAAAATAATATAATAAAGAAAATATTGTTACGCTAGTTACGATTTTAGAGTTCAGGACGCATTTTGGCAAAAGGTTAAGCTTGGCGCATTTAGTGAATTAAAGCTGAATTCCAACTATTTTAAATTCGAATGACATTTACAAGGATTGAAGATGTTATGCATGAGGAAAATACAAAACCTTTTTATATTGCATGATTTCAACTGCTTTTATTCAAATATCTACAATTAGCTACAATAAAACCTTAACTAAGATAATTCTACTGCTTTATAGGGCGATGACAGTTCAACGATAGCCATGTCTACATAAACATTGAGTAACTGAGCAACAAAACATCAGAAACTTGTCAATTATGATCATATTACAACACTGATATCCTTGAACTTTAAACAAATAGCAATAAATTATTCGTCAAAAACCAACTCAACTCAAAATGACAAATTAATCAAATTAATCCACTTCCATAGCCCCGCCAAAATGCCTATCCACTATGCATAAAAATGCACAAAAAAAAAGAGTCAAAAGCGAGTAGTTGTGAGATTAAATTAGTTTTGTTGTGTGGGGATTTTTTTTTTTGTTATTATTTTCCATCCTTTCTCTCGTCTGAAAGCCAAAATAGACAGTGCACGAAGCGTGAATGAACTAGCTTTATTTATTTTTCATGCTCTTCACAATGGATAATGTAGCACATACTCTTCTTTTATTTTGTCAATTTAATGCACGAAATATTCAAAATTATGTTGATGATGAGACACATAATAACTCAGCTAGGAAAAAGAGGAAATTGAGGCAATGAATATAAGAGAGAATTTTTTGATGTTGTTGAATGTTTTGAGTGGATTAAGTGTCAAAAATTGGATTTTAATTATCAACTTTTATAAATTTCTTCATTTTTAGACTTTAATATCTTTTGAGCAATTTAATCCGCCAGAAAAGCACTTTAGAAACTTAGAAATGTGCAAAATATTTATTTTCCAAATAAAAATCTTTAAATCCACAAAGTCTCCACTTATAACCCAAAAATCTGTCATAAACCTCAACCATAAAGTCATTAAATCAAAAACAAATCCACAACTGATCCCATTACACCTCCAAAACCCCAACAAAAGTCAACAACTCAAACCGCAAATTCCCGTAAATTTTCATTCATTTTTATTTCATAAATTTTTAATATTTACGACCACAAGAGCTTAAGACAAGCACATCAGCTGTAACTATTTATGACAATCTCAAGTTATGGCAAGACCATGGCTTTTGGATCAGGTCATGAAGAAATCTTCTATTTTTTTATGACTTTCTTCTACTTTTTTTGTGTTTTCTTTTCAAACTTTAATGTCAGAGTACATCAGTGCCAGTACAAGAGGAGCGAGAGGAATAAAAAGCAACGGAAATTGTGTGTGTGTGTGTGAGTATTTGCTTGTGCGGATGAGGTAGAATGAAAAAAAAATCTGTGCAGGAAAGGAATATAAAGAAACATGTTTTTCACG